ACGCGGTGGGCTCCGAGGGCGAGAGGGAGGTGGACTGGTCTTTGGGCAGGACGGGCGCGGTCACCAGGGATGGTAGCAGGGGCCGGAGGGGTCCCGAGGGGAGGCGGAAGCGCAGGTGGGAAAGAGATGGATCGTGTTGGGCTGTTGTGCCTAGCGAGGCGCGGAGAAGTGCGAGTTGTAGGTCTTGTTCCCTGATCATGGTTGATGGCCCCGACCGACCAGTCAGCCGTGAGATCTTGAGCCGCTCTATCTCTCTAATAAGGGACAGCGCAAACTCTCCATTCCTGAGCAGGAAATAGTTGGCGCTGTGTAATGGACTCGGTCAGATGTTCAAGGATGTATGAGACCACCTTACTCACAGCGAATCAACGGCAACCTCAACGTCCTTGCGGGTCAAGACGTTGTGCCAAAGCCACTCACTGACTGTCGTCCTGATGTCTGCAATGACGCGATCAAATGCGTACTGATCTTGCGGCAAGACTGTTTCTAGTAGCTGCGTATGCTCGACAGCTAGGATGCGAGGAAACTGGCGTATCCACTTCGCCGCTTTCACAGTACCGATGGCGCGGCCGACGTACGCTATAGACTCTCTCGACTGTGCGGACAGGCACGATGGGACAGACCCTTCAAGCAGCGTGTAGTCCTTCGATGCCAGCGGGTCCTTGTCCGCCACGGTCCCATGCACGACGAACGCCTGCAGCTGGGCGATCCAGACGCGCAGTACCGCATCACACAGCCGAGAGTAGATCGACGCTATCCGGTGTATACCCGTGTGCGAGCGCGTCAGGAGCAGGTCGACGAGCGGCCCCGGCTGCGCGTACCGCTTGTCCTGCAGGTCCTCGACGAGCTTCTCGAGGGCAGCAAGCGGGGCGTCCCACTCGGCGAAGGTGGCGCGGATGGAGGAGAGCGGGACGAAGGACCCGCTCGCGACGAGGCTCGCGTCGCGCCGGAGGACCTTCGCCTCGGTCTCGACGACGAGGTTCTCGTATTCGTCGCGGAGAATCTGGTTTAGCGTCGCACAGAGTGCCGCGATGTAGCGCGACGGCGAGCGGGAGAGGGTGGCGCATGCGTCCTTGATCTTGCGGTAGCGCGCGGCTATCTGCCCGAGGGACTCGAGGCATTGCTGCTCGCCGGGATGCAGGAGGGGGGCGAATGCCGGATGAACGGTGTGGTCGGTGGGGAAGAGAGAGGATGAATGGCCCGCGAGAACTAGTAGGACTTCTGCGATCATGGTCAACTTGTGCCGTCAGGTATCATCCCTGTGTTGTATGCAGTATAGCACTCACCCAGGGCCTGTACGCGTTGTGCTCACCGTCGGTTGGGAGTCACGATTGTAACGATGTGAATATGCAGTTCACAGCCGCGTATTGTTCGGTCCTGATTGCATGTAATGCCTGGACATCGTCAGAGCGCGTAAATCGCACATGTAAGAGAAACCGAACGCGAACTCACCTCGTCTTGTATTTCTATAGCAGCGCGTCCGTGTCGCCGACGGGCCTGCCGCCGCAGCCGAGCGCGTCGCCCAAAGTGCACGTGATGACATATACCCGGGCAACGCGTCTGAGATCACCGTCTGCACTGCAGCCATCTCGGCGATGGACGACCACACACCACCCGGCGACACGCACGGCGGGCACGTCGAGCACGCCTACGCTGTGTCCCCTCCGCATTTTGCCTTTGACGACGCGTTCTCCGACGCCGACGATGCCGAGGAGAGGCTCGAGTTCTCACCCGAGGCCATTCGCGAAGATATCGCGAAGACGTTCACGAACCTCGACAAACACGTAGCACAGGACGAGGCAGAGGATTTTGCGAGGAAGATTGGGCGGGCGGTCGCGCGGGTTCGGCACGGTCAGCTTCACGAACGAGGCCGATGCGGAGCGCGCGGTGCGTATGTTCAACGGGTACGTCGTCTTTGTTCTCTGTCTTGTTCCCTCCGGCATGTGTTCTGTGTTGTTGCCTCTGGCATGTCAACGACGCAGTGCGCATCGCGACGGCCAGCTACAAGCTGGTGGATGGTGCGCGTGGATGGGTGTCCTGCAGTGGAAGCCCCCCGCGGGCATGCGGGTGAGCCAATGATGTGCCACGCATTTCAGATACACATGGAAATATATTTGGGTGCTATGCGAGCACGCGATGTGTGGGAGGCTACGGGCGTCTATTTGTGTGACACGGGCGTGTTGTTTGCTACGAGGAACATGAAGACCGTGCAAAGATCAAGAGATAGGTGTGTAGGGGACATATAGAACACTGCAGGGGACATAGAGCACACTGCAAGGGCATCAGGAATATTGCAGGCGTCATAGAGCGCACCCAAGGGACACAGAAACACAGGAACATGACACCTCGACAAGGAGAACGAGACGGGTAAGCTACTTTCTATTGAATCTCGTCAATACAGTATTTACATGCCTGCTGTCGTCTGTACCCTCCCCCGACTCGCAGCAAATGCACCAAAGTCATCATCCCGCGCACAATGCCCCTCGTCTCGCTCGTGCACGGACTTCTCAAACAAGTAGTTACCATTCCCGCTGCAAACAAGGCCACGTTTTTGTGTTTTCTCGGTCGCATCCTGCCAATGTCCTGTTCCTGAGGGTCACAATAGTCAGCTCTCAATATGGCCAACAGGAAGCAAATCCCGCTTTGTGACATTGTGCTCGCCTGGTATGCTCGCAGGAAGCCTGGGATGGTCGCAAATGTCAGCGGCCCGGTCAGTGCTGCATCTCGGTTCGGGAGCGAGCAGCCTGCGCATTTGTGAGGTGTGCAGACATTTTCCGGGACTGACCGAGGCAAACACATTGTCCCATGCTGACGTTCCCGGTCCGTTTCGAGTCTGTGGATGGTCCTTGTTGTACGTGTGGTCTGTAATTCTGTTGATTCGTAGCACAATTTGAATCAGCTACGCTGTAACAGCCATGTCACCACTTACCAGTGGGATACTGTGCACTATGGCCTCGTAGAGTGCATTCGTATGGTCTCTTCACGGAGTCTTGTACAGCACAATACAATGTGCCATGTTCTCAGTTCCCGATTTGGCATGTACTGGTCACCGACAACTCCCGCAACTCCTCAAATAGCTCGCGCTCCGTTGGTAGGTCTCTCGTCTTGTCAACACCAGTGCTCGGGCATGCATTCTCACAAGACCTGGATTGCTGTAGGAAGCTTGCATCCAACTTGTATGATGTCCTGGTCAGTCTGGCTTGCAAGTTCTGGCAGAGTGGTTGAGACAAAGTAGCAAGAACACATCAATATAATGAGAAATGCGGCATAGAGACAGCATAGACATGGTGTAATCGGAGCTAACTTGCAGCGGCCAAACAGGCCACCTCTATAAGTATTGATGCTTGTTTGCAGCCACTTTGCCACCGCACGGGCCCAGGGAGTGCGAAACATACCAAAATATCGGTATGTTTCAGATGCTCGGCCGGAAGATCCAATCAGGAAATTGGAGATATTTCTGTGGCAAATGCCATGATACAGTGCACAGCGCATGAGAGTGTTATTCGGACATGGTCATATTACAAACACTAACTATGATATACAAGTGCGGAGCGGACATGTCTGTCCATTGCAGATGCAATCGGTGCCATCTGAGCGAGAGCGTGCAACACCGTGAGCGAGGGGCGGCCCGTGCATCGGGTTGTACATGCAGCCGGTATGCCATTCTGTCTCGCTAACACTGAATTCTCTTGATCTGATTCGTTGCTGCAGCTAGCTAGCGCATTCGCACCCGAACACAATGCTCATGGGTACACGGCGATGCCACACGAGTGTCCTCCCTGGTATGCTGCCTGTTGATGTTCATATGTCGATGATTTATGGGTGCGCTGATGTGTTTTACCAGGCCGCTCATCCTGGTGCTGCCGAAAGGGGGTATATTGACAATGAGAATGCACTATAGTTATTACAACATGTATTACATAGCCTTTTGCGAGTAGCTAAGACGACAGGCATCCGGTTATGCGGGAGAGCTTGGCACGGTTTCTGTGACCGGAGGAGGACAGACGGGCAAACGTGCACAACAGCTAGACACAAGCAAGATGGCGGGATGTCAGACGAGCGCGTCAGGGAACGGCGCGTTGCACTGCGCGAGGGCAAAGCGGCCGCATCTCGGACCGGGATGCATGTGTGCGTACATTGCAGGCGCGGGATGTCTGTGTGCAACCCTGCCGGCATATGAGTGCCGCCTTGCGCCACAGCAGGTGCGTGGTCTCGCTATCGTCGCGTGTGTTGACTCAGACTCGCTTCTCTCTGCGCAACGTCGCGTCGACCAGCCATCCCACTTCCAGCTCCAGGGTGGGCATCAAAGAGCGCACGCCGGGCAGCTGCGCAGGTCTGGCCCACGTTCCCAGGTATGCCGCGCATCGGCTCTTGGCCATCAACGCGCGAAGCACTGACGAGGGGTCTAAGACGACACCACACGCGCAGGGGAGCATTTGCACCTGGTGTTGCACCTACCATCGCGTAGGGATGCGGCACATACGTGCGAGCGTGCTGACGGATGGACGGCGCAGCGCGGGTGATCGGGCGCGGAGAACTTAGTTAGGCGCGTCCGCACCGTAGCGATCACGGGAAAGCGGGCGAAACAGGGGCTTGGGAAAAGCGCACGCATACGTGGGACTGCGACTTGGTGATTGCAGAACCTAAGCAGCGGCGGCAGCAGAGGACAGAGGACGGAGCGCGGGGAGGAGATATCATGACAGGGCCTCACCTCGTCTGGATCCTTGCTCGCTCTGTCGCCTTCCCGCAGGTCTTTGACCACGCGGCTACTGTGTCGAGGTGAGTTGTCCTGGCTGGCTGCTGTGCATGTATGATGGGGGTGCTTACCATGCGGGGCTGCTCACAGGTGACTGGTCGTCCGAGGCAGGATACAGACTGCCGGTCGTCTGTGAGAGACTCTGTGTCACACGCTAACAGACTCGACCGGGGCCATGCTCGTACCCCGACCTGCTGCCATCATCGTGCTACGTCGTGCTGGCTAGTCCTCCCAGTGCTGTGTTTGCCTACCGCGATGATCAAAAGCCCCGCCGCCTGGCTTGATGCGAAGGATGCGGACGGAGTCACC